TGGACAACATTAGACTAGCTGTTTCTTTCTCTTTCTCTTTATGTAATAGAAAACAAGTGTTCATTCCTCAATTGTGTAAATTCCTTTGTCTGTTTTCTGTCTCTAAATGCTGTCTTTTGCTAGCAGCACTATATCACCAAGTAAAATTCTGTATGTGTATTTGTAAATGTACCTGGCAAATAAAGGTGATATGGATTCTGAAAGACACCCATGGCATTCTTCAAGGCACCCTTTATTGCTGTGCCATGTTCAATGGAACAGTGTTTAAAATGCTGACACGTTTCGGCATAGCCTTTTTTCAGGGAGTGATGTCGTTATTTTGTGTCTGTGCCCTATTGGCCCCACAGGAAAACCACAGAACCAAGCGCTGCTTTCACCGTTTCCACTCTGAAGCGCCTCAGACTACTGCACCATGTGACAGGAAGCAGTTTTACGTCAGTTTACATCCCACCTTAAACAGTGTTACCACATGAAGCACAACCACCATGACTCTGACACATGGAAGGCAAAGGAGAGAGTTGTAATACACACTTCTTTCAAATGATGTATGTGTGATTATGTACACTGCCTTCGGAAAGTATTCAGACCCCTTGCCTTTTTCCACATTTTGTTACGTTACAGCCTTACTCTAAAATGGATTAAATAAATAAAAATCCTTAGCAATCTACACACAATACCCCATAATGACAAAGAGAAAACAGGTTTTTAGAAATTTTTGCAAATGTGTTAAAAACAAAAAACAGAAACCTTATTTACATAAGTATTCAGAGCTCAGGTGCATCCTGTTTCCATTGATCATCCTTGAGATGTTTCTACAATTTGGTTGGAGTACACCTGTGGTAAATTCAATTGGTTGGACATGATTTGGAAAGGCACACACCTGTCTATATAAGATCCCACAGTTGACAGTGCATGTCAGAGCAAAAAACAAGTAATGAGGTCGAAGGAATTGTCCATAGAGCTCCGAGACAGGATTGTGTCGAGGCACAGATCTGGGGAAGGATACCAAAAAAGTTCTGCAGCATTGAAGGTCCCCAAGAACACAATGGCCTCCATCATTCTTAAATGGAAGAAGTTTGGAACCACCAATACTTTTCCTATGGCTGGTTAGCCGGCCAAACGGAGAAATCGGGGGAGAAGGGCCTTGGTCAGGGAGGTGACCAAGAACCTGATGGTCACTCTGACAGAGCTCTAGAGTTCCTCTGTGGGGATGGGAGAACCTTCCAGAAGGACAACCATCTCTGCAGCACTCCACCAATCAGGCCTTTATTGTAGAGTGACCAGACGGAAGCCACTCCTCAGTAAAAGGCACATGACAGCCCGCTTGGAGTTTGCCAAAAGGCACCTAAAGACTCTCAGACCATGAGAAAGAAGATTCTCTGGTCTGATGAAACCAAGATTGAACTCTTTGGCCTGAATGCCAAACGTCACATCTGGAGGAAACCTGGCACCATCTCTACAGTGAAGCATGGTGGTGGCAGCATCATACAGTGGGGATGTTTTTCAGCAGCAGGGACTGGGAGACTAGTCAAGATCGAGGCAAAGATGAACGGAGCAAAGTACAGAGAGATCCTTGATGAACGCACTGGACCTTAGACTGGGGTGAAGGTTCACCTTCCAACAGGACAACAAACCTAAGCCCACAGCCAAGACAACGCAGGAGTGGCTTCGGGACAAGTCTCTGAATGTCTTTGAGTGGCCCAACCAGAGCCCGGACATGAACCCGATCGAACATCTCTGGAGAGACCTGAAAATAGCTGTGCAGCAACGCTCCCCATCCAACCTGACAGAGCTTGAGAGGATCTGCAGAGAAGAATGGGAGAAACTGCCCAAATACAGGTGTGCCAAGCTTGTAGCATCATACCCTAGAAGACTCTATGCTGTAATCGCTGTCAAAGGTGCTTCAACAAAGTACTGAGTAAAGGGTCTGAATACTTATGTAAATGTAATATTTCAGTGTTTTATTTTTTATAAATTTTCTAAAAATTATAAAAACCTGTTTTTGCTTTGTCATTATGGGGTATTGTGTGTAGATTGATGAGGGGAAAAAACAATTTAATAAATTTTAGAATAAGGCTGTAACGTAACAAAATGTGGAAAAAGTCAAGGGGTCTGAATACTTTCCAAAGTATGTGGACACCCTTCAAATTAGTGGATTCGGCTATTTCAGTCACACCCGTTGCTGACAGGTGTATAAAATTGAGCACACCGCCATGCAATCTCCAAAGTTAAACATTGGCAGTAGAATGGCCTTCCTGAAGAGCTCAGTGACTTTCAAAGGGGCACCGTCATAGGATGCCACCTTTCCAACAAGTCAGTTTGTCACATTTCTGCCCTGCTAGAGCTGCCCCGGTTTGGAGGATGCCAGGAGAATGCTACCTGCCCCAATGCATAGTGCCAACTGTAAAGTTTGGTGGAGGAGGAATAATGGTCTGCGGCTGTTTTTCATGGTTCGAGCTAGGCCCCTTAGTTCCAGTGAAGGGAAATCTTAACGCTACAGCATACAATGACATTCTAGATGATTCTGTGCTTTCAACTTTGTGGCAACAGTTTGGGGAAGGCCCTTTCCTGTTTCAGCATGACAATGCCCCCGTGCACAATGCGAGGTCCATACAGAAATGGTTTGTCGAGATCGATGTGGAAGAACTTGACTGGCCTGCACAGAGACCTTACCTCAACCCCATTGAACACCTTTGGGATGAATTGGAACGCCGACTGCGAGCCAGGCCTAATCGCCCAACATCAGTGCCCGACCTCACTAATGCTCTTGTGGCTGAATGGAAGCAAGTCCCCGCAACAATGTTCCAACATCTAGCGGAAAGCCTTCCCAGAAGAGTGGGGGCTGTTACAGAAGCAAAGGGGGGGACCAACTCCATATTAATGCCCATGATTTTGGAATGAGATGTTCGATGAGCAGGTGTCCACATACTTTTGATCATGTGGTGTATCTGGTGCGGGAGGACAGTAAAGTGGTATTATATGTGTGTTTATCTGATTATTATCATTTTAAAATGAGTTGAATGATTGATGGACTTTTTTGAGCAGATTAATAGCTATAGTACTAATCATCAATGTCAAATGAAATGACACTGAGTCCATTGGCCTAATAATAGTTCTCAAATATGCCCCTGGTTATGTCCTAGACATTATACCCCATAAGGGTATACAGCCATTGTGTTGATGGCCAATTAGCAGTCCTTGTATATTTTATTGGTGTGTTTCACTGTATTTGGTGTTAAAATAATTGTTTATCGGAAGGAAAGGATTCACTCAGGTAAATTTATTAAATGCAATTTAATTTACCAGATCTTGAAGTCTTTATGGCATGAATAATTTACATTGATGTACAGTTCTAACAGGTCAATAAAACACATGAACAGCATATCTGAAAAGGATACTTTTATAGATTATAGAGCCAAAAGCTGCATGATGATTTTCATAGTTGAGGAGGCTGACTGTAACATAACATTATGAAGTCTCATCTACGACGGGTCAAAAACTGAAGAAAAAGAAAAAAACTTATCAGAAGAAGTGAACTCACAAACTAAAGTTCTGGTTTATTGTCTTACAACAAATTCACACATACATTGAACAGGCTACAACAGACAGCAATTTAACAGACATAAAAGAAAAGAAACCTCTTTTCTTTGGCCTTGCCATCTCATACAAACCAACTACGTATGGTACAACTAAAGTACAAATACAAAGTTACTGGAATGCTTTAAATTTAATTGTTTTCTGAAATTTGTACAAGTTTGTGTTGAGATAACATGACATGGTCAAACCACAAGTAAAGTCTATTTCATAGAGAAGCATCAACTCCAAAGCACCGTTTGGTAACCAGAGATCACTGTCGAAAAATGGCTGACCTCCTAACAATATGTACAAAAATATAAAATGTAAATAAAAATACAAACAAATTCTCCTTTTAAAGTATCTTGTTAAGAAGGTAGAACTTTGAAGTCTTGGGTTTTCTAAAAAATTTGCAGTTGGGTGTGTGTGTACACGGACGTTGAACTCTACTTGATGATGACCACAGTTTCCCTCCAAAAACGCTTGGTGGTCGAGGAGAGAGGTTACAGGGGCTTCCAGCGGGTTGAAACACAACTCTTAATCATCATCGGTTTTCTGCTTCTTCGTTCCAACATCATCCTGTAAAGACAAAGCCAAGATAACATTCGTTATTTCCATTTAAACAACATTGAAGAAATCCTTTTAGTTTGATTTGAATATTAAATACCAAACACAATAAGTGTAAATTCAAGTCACAGATTGAAGTTGTTATATTACCTCATCATCCTCATCATCGTCGTCATCATCTTCCGCCGCCCTCTTGCCTGCGCGACCCTCGACCTCATCGTCATCATCATCTTCGTCGCCTTCAGAGAGAGAGAGAGAGAGAGAGGGAGACAGGTTTAGATTCTTGGAGTTACAGCGTCTAATAGATAGAGGGCGCTCCAAGAAAACAATTCCCCCGGGCGATCTGCCTCAGACTAGCACTTTAGCTGCAAATAGACAGCACTGCCACTAGGTGCATATGTCAACATGAAATGGATACTCTATCATCATACATAATGTTGTTGAAAGACCAGACCACTTACCCTCAACATCCTCTTCCTCATCCTCCTCCTCTCCAACATCCTCTTCCTCGTCTACATCCTCTACATCTCCATTCTCCTCAGCCTCCTTCTGGAAAACAACACAATGCATCAGATACATAGAATCTGTTTGTCTCCAGGGAAAAATCCATGTTGAATGATAGACTGTATTTATTTAGGAGTGAGGGTAATAACCAGGTAATATCTTTTTTTTGTAATAAAAATGAAAGAAAACATGAGTTGTCCTCATGGATGTATTTCTACAAATACTTTTTTATAAGGACAATGAAGAAGACAGGTGGACAGTAACTGATGGCCAAAGGAGTTGGGCCCATCTTAAAGGTAAATTGGGGAAATGGGTCAATTAAAGGTAAAGTGTTAAAGGTGTAGTCTTACAGCTTTTTTCCCATTGGCTGGGGCATCTTTTCCATTTTCTGCCTCCTCAACAAGCTTCTTCTCTTTCAGATCCTGGGGGAAAGTGAAAATGAGAGAATATGTTTCACTTATATGTTGTGGGGCACATGGTGGATCAAATATATATCACAGGTCCATCCAATCAAGATTTTATGCCTTCAGATTTATTTCTAGAGTTCGTTGCGGTTTTGAAGACTTCTAAATGAGCGGGAACAAAAATGTTTTCACACCCCCGCCCACCTAACGCCTTCCCTCCCTCCACCCTCGCCTAAACTTGTAACGCATGCTTTCGTTCTTCCTTTGAAAGGCGACTCTTTGATCCTAAACATTCTATTGGTTGCTTTTCTTCTCTACTTCCCGCCTACTTTTGGAGCTCTAATAGAAGTGTTGCAACCTGACACCATGATGGAGTTGAGAGCAACGAGCATTGTAGTTCAGTCAAGGACTCATATAATGGAGCTCTATGAAGACACGCCCGGAAAAAGACTACAGTTCCCATTGCACCCTTGTAGGTCATTCAGCCAATAAGAGCCTCTAAACGAACGCTACCAAAAGGAGGCTGACTAAATTAACTCCAGGGAAAGGAGACAATAAGACAATAGCGCCTAGAAGGGATATGCGATTCATCGACTTTCCATTCTGCAAATGAAGACAATAAGGTTCCTAATCAATCAAAACCATTCTGATTGGGTGATGGTGTTGTATCAAGGGTCTTTATGATAAGATCAGGCTATGTTTAGGCCTATTCACTTGAAGGACAAAGGCACTTTTTTTTTTTTTCAAAAGCCTTTTTTAGTGCCCAATAAATAAAATATAGATTTTCTTAGTCTCATTCGTTTTAACCTCTTCCTATGAGGAAGTCTATTGATGAATTAGTTTGAGTAATGCTGAGCCCATAAGCCGGTTAGCAGTTACATCTCCCCTGTACCCGCCTCCTTTCAACATCACCTTTACGTACCAATATTGTATTATATACCTACAGGCAACAACGCACAGCGAGGGAAACTAAGTATAGTTTTCATCCTATAGGCTAACAGACAGACATCAACATACTCGATTTTTTTAATCACCTGGGGTCGTTTGAACAGCGTATGGTGAGCTTATGGCAAGGGATAAAAGATAAGTAAGCCGGGGAAAACCAAAATTCCCCGGGGCACGGGAAAATTTTTCAGAGGTCGGTCTTAGCAGCGTTTGCAATGTTTAATAAAAACGTTCCTTTAAATTTAAGCTGGTTTTTTCTGAAACGCTCGAACCCCCCTCTTTATCTCTCTCTGAATAGGTTACGCCGGGGGGCCAGAGGACCCCGAGGGAGGGAGAAAAAGAAAACGGGGAGGGAGTAAGAAGAGGAGATTTTAAGATAGGAGGGAAAACAGAGGGGAGGAAAAATGAAATTTAAGCCCTTTTGGGAAACCTTTTCGAATTGAGCTTTTCCCCCCCGAACCCTGCCGGGGGAAAAATTAAAAACAACCTTTCCCAAACCGCTTACCCTTGGAACCGGGCAAAAATGGGCCGAGGGACCTTAAAGTCCGAGGCCGGCCCTTTTCCAACCTAGGTGGGGTCCCCGAAGAAAGGAGGAGTTCCCCAAACGAGGAACGAGGAAAAGACGTGAGCCCTTCTAAGGCTCGCACCCCCGAGACTCGTGATTGTAAAGACCAACAGTTGACGGAAATAGCACCCTGTGAGGAGCTCACTTCCGGGGAGTCCTAGGCAAACGCCCTGAGTGCATTCTGATCCAGTGGATTCGGAGAGTACGCGGTCGCCGAGAGAGCGAGAGGAGAAGAGAGAAGGGGAGAGTGGAGGGGGAGAGAGAGAGAAGAGAAACGAACACTTCAACAGTTAAACTTTTCGCTCACACACGTCCTAACTGAGTGTTCATATCCGCATTACGCGCCGCCAAAGCCCGCATATACACACACCTAGTTCCATTTATCACAAGATACCGCTGGAACCAAGTCAACATTTATTTTTCTCTCAAAAGATGAGCAAAGGAAATCACTGTCTGTCCGCGCTTTTTTCATACAAAGAATGTCCAAATCTAAGACAGTATCCAAACAAATAACTAATGGACAGAAGCTGTTCCAAATCACACACAGGCACATAATTTCGTTTACAAGCCAACTGATGCTGTTAAACGGGAGACTCCGGAGCTCCGGTTTAGGCTCCGTCACATTGCGCGCAGACAAATACAAGCCTGGTGGAACGAAGTGAACACACCGCGGGGTTATCCGTGTCAATACAATCGAGAACCACTGATCATAAACACAAAGCTAGAAGACAGGAGCCGCTATCCCCACTCCATTTACAGTTATGCAAAAATTATCACTCCCGTAGTTGACTCATCTCGTACTCAGGTTGGGTATAATTTTCATGTTGGTTACGTTATTAATCCTTTACGCGCAATTTAAATCCCTTTCACCACATTCTGCATTCTAAGAGGCGCGAGGCTTTTATGTCCGAGCCATTCCCCATAAACTTCCAAATCAATATCATATACTCAATGAAAACAGCCTCCAAAAACAATGGGATCTATTCAAGTAGCAAGTTATGACAGACCGGTGCGCGGTACGAATTTGGCGAATGGATCAATCAATAGCAGCCTCGACCAGCAAATGCAATGTAGCCTATGAAATGAGAAGCATACAACGCGAATTCAACAACACGATAAAGCAGAAGTGTGTGTATGTGTGTGTGTGATTGAGTTATTCAAAAGAGCTTCAAATCGGTGCTCAACTGAACGGACACGGTAGTATAAACAAAGAACCGCGCGCAGACTGTTGTACTCGGGGCAATAAAAGCATCGCTGTTTGCTGTGAATGTTTCAGTAGACTAGTGAGTGCAACTTCGGGGTACTCATTGTTAGGCTACATTTTTATCTAATATCATAGGTCTCCAATAAAAGTGTTTTCATTCCCGTGTAGCTCGTTGGTAGAGCATGGCGCTTGCAACGCCAGGGTTGTGGGTTCGATTCCCACGGGGGGTCAGTATGAGAATAAAAAAAATCCACTCACTAACTGTAAGTCGCTCTGGATAAGAGCGTCTGCTAAATTACTAAAATGTAAATTGCAACAGAAGCCTCATCCAAAACCAGTTAGATTTGACGAACCTCGGATAAACACTTATTCCAGTTTCCTAGTTGTTCTCCATTCAAAATATTTAGTCCGGAATAGATTTGAATTAAATAAAGTGTAGAAATTGTAATTTATCCATCACTCAGGTCACAAGTTGCCCTCCACTTACCTTGGCAGAGATCTCCTTCTTGTCGACTTTTGTGTCAGCCATGTTTCTGTTTTAGCCTAATGTAACAAATGTTATAGGGGATCAGAAAAAATTATGATACGATCCACTCAGTCCGACCACTGTAAAAGAAAAAAAAGACTTATAGTGCCAGTGGCAACCTGGCCCGACGGGGGAGCCTTTAATATAGAGTTGTGGGCGGAATCGAGGCACGACCAGTGCGTTATGATTGGTCCATAATTTGGACAATGTCTAGCCCTGATTGGTCCGAGGCGAACAATGGACAGTATTTTCAGAGAGGCGCTCACGCCCCCTAATCAGCCTCTCCGAATCATTGCAGTGACGAGTGGCTGGCCGTCCCCGCGCGGGGATTGATGACCCGCATAGCATACTTTCTGTCAACACAACACAAGATTAAACTTGTCAAAGTACACGATTCTCGCGTCAGGACGTAATTTAAGCGAAATTTCGATTGCAATCCCCACATATGTCCAATTATGGACAGATGCATTCAGTTCTAGACTATTGTATTTGGCAACATGTAACACACACACACACATCCGCAGTTGTTACATGTAACCTTATCACTTGCAGTCTAACCTCATCAATCACCATGTTATTCAAGGTTTATTACATTGGGTGCTGCTTGACCTTGCGTGCGATTTCATTTAACTGATAGTCTAGTTTGCTAAAATACATATATTTTAATTCTGAATAATGAGCTAATGTAGCCTCACTAATGTAATTAAGAAATGTAACAACTTCAAATGGATGAACTGGATGCAATGATTTAAAAGATCTTCAATGGCTTATTGCGGCATTTAAAGAACGAAGCCTAGGCTATCTCTAGTTTACTCACGACAGACTGACAGATAGCTCCCCTCTCCTCCTCCTCCTCCCCCCTTCTCCCCCTCTAGAGCAGCCCCTCCTTCCTCTCACCTACCCCTCCCCCCTCTCTCTCTGCACCCCTCCCCCCTCTCTCTGCACCCCCTCCCCCTCTTTTTGCTCTCTCTCCTCGCGCTCGCTGGAAGCCGTAATGCGCTTGCGCCCTGTGCCGCGGGTAGAAGCGTCCATTTCCCGGCTCAGCCACCATTGTGTGTGTGAGTGAAGGTCGATACCACAGAGAAAGAATTTACGAGATTGACTTCTGAAAGATGTGTAGAGCATTTCTGTTGGAGGCTGAATTGTTTAGAAATAGCAACTCAATGGTAAAATTCATTACTAGGCTACTTTACGCACATATTTTATGCACACTGCGCAGAAATTAGCCACAACAAAAGGACTCAGCTAAAAAATATAAAAAAATAAGACAGAAGCTTACACATTGTAAGAAAATAAGTGCAATAGTGTTGCGTAGTGATTTAATTTACGCATGAGTGCACCATTGAGGTAAAATGAGAAATTTACCTCACCAAAATGGCTTTTTTCAAGTGCCATATGTCGTCGTGAGTGTGAAAGAACTAACCTCATTGGTAGATGAACTGGAGCAAACATAAACCTGACGCTTTGCGCCCATGGATTGGATTATCCGACTGTCAATCAAATGTAGTACTCCACTAGAGGGGTTTGCAAAACCTGGAGAGTGGATTTCAAATAATCTGAAACACTCAGTACTGAAGAGCGGAAAGTCACTAGATGATGATATGTTGTTAATGAATGATTTTGAATAAAGAATGTATTTAAAATGGCCTACTTAGACATGTTGTTAATGAATGATTTGGAATAAAGAATGTCTTTAAAATGGCCTATTTAGACAGTTGGGCTATGCACCACGTTGTATGATCCCACTAACATAGGGCACTGATGTCAGTAGATTTATCAGTTCTACAGTTGCATTTAGGCCAGATTTATTAGGCATTTGCGCGAAAACATTTTGCAATTGTTATTGTCAGATGAAAAAAAAATAAAATAAATAAAACATGATGGAAAAAAGTTAAACGTTGTATGTGTTAACAAAAAATATTCAACATTTGCCAAAAGTTTGACTGTATGTTTGCAATATTGTTGTGTATTCAATAGTCAATAATCAAAGCAAGCATGTGTTAACTTTGTATGGAGCTGTAGGGCAGCTGTGTCTGTCTAAGGCTGCTATGTGTTACAGTACGTTGTAGCAGTGAAAACATCCTCTTCCTCAGGAGGCCCCTATGGGTTCTACATGCTGTGACCTGCAGAGGGGGTCCAGGACTGGAAGCTAACCTGTGTGTTGTCCTGTTACAGAGATGGGATGAAAATGTATGCACTCACTAACTGTAAGTCGCTCTGGATAAGTGCGTCTGCTAAATGACTAAAATGTAAAATGTAATGGGATCTTATCTCACACAGGCACATACACTACATGACCAAAAGTATGTGGACACCTGCTTGTCGAACATCTAATTCCAAAATCATGGGCATTAATATGGAGTTGGTCCCCATTTGCTGCTATAACAGCCTATATTCCTCTGGGAAGGCTTTCCGCTAGATGTTGGAACATTGCTGCAGGGATTTGCTTCCATTCAGCCGCAAGAGCATTTGTGAGGTCGGGCACTGATGTTGGGCGATTAGGCCTGGCTCGCAGTCAGCGTTCCAATTCATCCCAAAGGTGTTCGATGGGGTTTAGGTCAGGACTCTGTGCAGGCCAGTCAAGTTCTTCCACCCCAATCTCGACAAACTATTTCTGTACGGACCTCGCTTTGTGCACGGGGGCATTGTCATGCTGAAACAGGAAAGGGCCTTCCCCAAACTGTTGCCACAAAGTTGGAAGCACAGAATGCAATTGTATGCTGTAGCATTAAGATTTCCCTTCACTGGAACTAAGGGGCCTAGGCCGAACCATGAAAAACAGCCCCAGATCATTATTCCTCCTCCACCAAACTTTACAGTTGGCACTATGCATTCGGGCAGGTAGCGTTCTCCTGGCATCCGCCAAACCCAGATTAGTCCGTCGGACTGCCAGATTCATCACTCCAGAGAACGTATTTCCACTGCTCCAGAGTCCAATGGCGGCGAGCTTTACACCACGCCAGCCGACGCTTGGCATTGCGCATGGTGATCTTAGGCTTGTGTGCGAATGCTCAGCCATGGAAACCCATTTCATGAAGCTCCCGACGAACAGTTATTTTGCTGACGTTGCTTCCAGAGGCAGTTTGGAACTCAGTAGTGAGTGTTGCAACCGAGGACAGACCATTTTTACACGCAACGCGCTTCAGCACTCAGTGGTTCCATTCTGTGAGCTTGTGCGGCCTACCACTTCGCGGCTGAGCCGTTGTTGCTCCTAGACGTTTCCACTTCACAATAACAGCACTTACAGTTGACCGGGGCAGCTCTAGCAGGGCAGAAATTTGACGAACTGACTTGTTGGAAAGGTGGCATCCTATGACGGTGCCATGGAAAGTCACTGAGCTCTTTAGTAAGGCCATTTTACTGTTTGTCTATGGAGATTGCATGGCTGTGTGCTCGATTTTATACACCTGTCAGCAACGGGTGTGGCTGAAATAGCCGAATCCACTAATTTGAAGGGGTGTCCACATACTTCTCCTCTCCCCTCCTCTCTCCTCTCTCCTCCCTCTAGTGGAGCACTCAAGACACTGGAGGAGCTCCTCAAACAGATGGGAGAATAAGTGTGAGGTCCAACTTTTTGAGATTTACCGAAAAATGTGAGTTCTTAGTTTGCTATCATGTCGTTTTAATTTAGGTATTTACAAAGCATGTTGAAATACTATTTTAGGCAAACAGAATGCTGTGCAGGTTTTCTCATCTATACAGCGTTGCTCAACATCATTGTAGCTGTTCGTGTTCTAAAGCAGTATTGGGTTTGATGTGTTCAATCATTTCTGGGGACTTTTGAAATTCTACCGTTGCAAATTCTGTCCAGATGCATTACAATATAATAACAGCCTGCTGCTGATTAAAAAATAAAAAATAAAAAACTTGATTTGTCCCCAAGGGGTAACTGAGTATTTTTGCTGAGTATGACTATGCAGACAACAACAACAACAACAACAACAACAACAAACAAACCATCAACAACAGATGACATAATGAATACTCCACACAGCCCAAATCATATAGACTAACAGTACGTAAACAATACACAAACAACTGATAAGGAAATGCTGACAGTGCTCTCTGTCTCTATGTGCTATCAGCAGCTGGACAGGCAGCCTTGATCAGAATAGTCTTTCAGAGAAACGTGACCGTGGAAACACCTACAACAACAAAATGCATATTATTTATGTGATCATTAATTATTCAACAGACTGTAGTTCTGGCTAGTTAGTGGACATTGTCCATTATAACTGTATATGTGTTTTGTAGGCCGTCATTGTAAATAAGAAATTGTTCTTAACTGACTTGCCTAGTTAAATAAAGGTAAAATAAAAATAAAATAAATAATGAGAATGGATGAGAATCAACTGGAAACCCATAGGATAACTGTTCAGAAATAACCCCCACCACCACCACATATACGCACGCACGCACGCATGCACACACACGCACACACACACACACACACCCTGCACACACACTCCCCCACTTCCATTTAGCGATAGTTAGTACAGCCAATTAGCATCCAGCTTTTCGTAATTAATTATTGTTCCTGGTTGCCAATTCATTGCTCGCTAGCTCACACTGCAACACGGCTCTCTTTGTTTAGGAGTAATGTGAAATTATGGAATTACTATGTTATTGGGAATGTATCCCTTCACTATGGAAGTAGTGGTGGCTATACAGCATGATAAATGTCCATTGGTATGGGGGCAGGGTAGATGTCTGTTGAGGGGGGGTTAGGAAGTCTGGAGGGTCAGGGGGGGGGGAGCATGTAACTGACTAGTGGTGGCTATTCAGCAGCCTGAAGGTCTTGGGGTAGAAGCTATTGGCCAGTCTGTTAGTTTTACCCATGATGCTCCTGTACTGCCCGCGTCTGACTGATGGAAGCGAGGAGAACAGGCCGTGGCTCGGGAGGCTGGGGTCCCTGATGATCTTCTTGGCCTTCCTGTGACACCTGGTGTTGTAGGTGTCCTGGAGGGCAGGCAGTGAGCACCCGATGGTGCGTTCGGCTGAGTGTACCACCCTCTGTAGTGCTTTGCGGTCAGCGGCGGTGTAGTTGCCGTACCAGGCTGTGATGCTGCCCGGCAGTATGCTCTCGACGGTGCTCCTGTAGAACACAGAGGGCCCTCGGGGACAGGCCACA